GTGGGATAAAGTTTCGGTTTTTTAAATATCATTTTTAGAATACTTTTTTGAAAAACATCTAAATTATAGATATGTGAGGAACATGCAGCTCCCCATGCTAATATACCATATGTGAAATGAGGCTCAATCAGTGCATGGTATAATATTCGAAGATATTTTTCTGTCAATATATTCCCAAGGTATTTAATTTTGTAGGATACAAATCTAACTTTCTTTAAAATATAATTGACATGGATGTCCCATCGTAGGTGAGGATCCAAGACCATTCGAAGGTATTTTATGTTGGGCACTCTATTAATTTGCATTTTTTGATCATTAATATTGAAGGAGAAATTTGTGTAATTTGGCAGATGTCTAGCATAAGATCCAAATGGTAAAAAATGTGTTTTAGAGTAGTTAATGCTTAATTTTCTACTGTTAAACCACCGAATAATTTTGATAAAATCATTTTCAATTACATTTTTCAGATCAGGCCAATCAGTGCCTTCATATAATATTGCAGTATCATCTGCAAAACTAGTTATTTTGCCAACACAATTAATTTGGAAAATATCATTTAAATATATATTGAATAACAGGGAACTTATAATTTAGAGTGGGAAAGAGAAAGTGAGAATAGGGAAAAGAGAAGAAGAGAGAAAGGGGAGCAGGAGATATGTTTTTTTATACCTTATGATACCCTAAAACACTTTTAGGGTTCTTCTCAAATGTAGCTACCGAGAGAGGAAAATCTTTAATTCTGAATTTGTTTACCATAAAAGCAATTTGATATGAGAATGATTTCTTAAATGATTCTCTATTTAGTGATGGTATTGTAATCAAATTCAATCTTCTAGTGCTTAGATTACCTACATCGGTCCGGTAACTTGTTTTTAATTGAAGATAATGGGGGCTTTCATATTTTATAATCTTGTAAAAAAGGAAGTAGAGTGCAAGGTACACTTCTGAGCCATATTCAACCATTCTGGTAGTTTATGGGATGCTCGTTGTCTACCCCTCCACCAAATATCAGTCTCAGACGAGAACTCTAAGGTTTTTCAATCCATTTGGACGGAAGCACCATATAGTTGATAGATCACACGCGTCGCCCTATGGCGACGGGAGCACAGCACTCTAGACATCGGTGTCGCCAATAGGCGACAGTGGCATCGAACGTGTTAACTGGTTTTGGTTTCCATTTATAAAGCAAATTACAAACATTATACTTTCTCCATGGGCGATATTTTCATCAGGCTGTCATTGACTTTTATTTTTGCACACTTCTCCATAAAAAATTCATTGCATTTCATCCTATAAGAACGGAGGCGTGAGTGGATGCCAAATAAGAGGCAAATAAGAATCTACTGAACGAATTTACTGTGTCAACAGAAATTTTAATTTACGTTCGTAATTTTTCTGGGCGAAATGAGAAAATGGTAAATCGTGAAATATAACTTCAAATGGAAACGATATTAAAGATTTTTTCCGAGAACTCATCGGAGTTTCATGTTTACTTGTGTAGGACGGCTCTGGAGTTCTCAGTTTACTTTAAACATATTGATGAGTATGCTGAATGCTGCCATGCTCAGGTAAAAGTCATCAAACTTAATATGCTACCTTTTGTAAATTCTGATTCCAATGCATTTAATAATAGTAATAATAATGATAATAATAATAGTAATAATTTATTAACTCCTGAGAAAGAATAGAAAGGAGTAAATAAATACGAAGCAACGGCCCATAGGAGGCATTGCCTGTACATGGACCATTGACCACGTAAAACGTGAAATATAACTTCAAACGGAAACGATATTAAAGATTTTGCTGAATGCTGCCATACTCAGGTAAAAGTCATCAAACTTAATATGCTACCTTTTGTAAATTCTGATTCCAATGCATTTAATAATAGTAATAATAATGATAATAATAATAGTAATAATTTATTAACTCCTGAGAAAGAATAGAAAGGAGTAAATAAATACGAAGCAACGGCCCATAGGAGGCATTGCCTGTACATGGACCATTGATGTTGCAAATGTTTTATTAAAATATGAATAGAGATACAACTAATGAACGAATTATTTGATCACATTTACTATTAATTTGTGTACGTCTTGTCTTGACAAAGAAAAAATTAGTTGAGTAAAATAAATCATGATGTATATATACAGGGACTTTGAAGTTGAGTTATTAATTTTCAGATAATGATTGTAGAAGGAAGATAAACCAAAATATGTGTGTAAAAATAAAAAAAATTAAAAAAAAAATTTTTACCTTGTTTTATAAAGTATCCTCCCGACAAGTATTTCAGTGCGGACCTGTATTTGATCGTGAGGTCTTGGAGCACCGGCATGCCGTCACCTGATTCACGAGCCCGTTGTACTACATTAACAAAGGCACGAGGGGTTGGTTGCACTCGATTGGGAAACCGATCCGCATAAACATGTGCCATTTTTTATTTCGTTTGAGCCACGCAACAGACACCACTATTCACTGACACTGACTGTATACAAATGAATAAAATAATTCTAAAAACATCGTTCCAAATTCTTTCGCTTTTTTGTTTCCGATGCGATGAACCGATAAGGCGGATTATATCCGTTGTCGCCAAACACGAGCACATAATATTATTATTGAGACAGGGCGGTACTCAAACTTCCAAAGGGCTATAACTTTGTTAATTTAATTTTACCAGAAAAATGGTAAAGGAAAAAAACATTTCTTTTGATCAGATCTACTCACTGTTAAAATAAATGACTCAACTTCGAAGTCACCCTGTATATATGGATCTATCTCGATGATAAAAACGTTTCGTCACAGATAATATTAGAAAACTATTTGATATTCATGCCCCTAATCGGATTATTTGTGTAACAAAGCTAACACGAAATTTGCGTTCATTCATGAAAAAGCTCTATTGAATTTTAAGCGATGTAGCAATAAAGGAAACGAGTTTAAATCAAACCTTATAAAAGAAAAAAGTCTTATCTTGAAACGTCATGTAACTAATACCAACCAAACCATTTTTATGGAGCTTTAGGGTCAATGAGGCTTCAGACTTCAAACATTATAACGTGAATCTTTTCCATGAATATTCAGCATCTGTTTTTAACTCATATGATTTAACATGTGATGATGAAATTAAGCACTACTCAAAACCCACTAGTCAAACAAGTTTTAATTAAAAACTATCGATACATATGATGTTTTTGATGCTATTAATAAAGAAAAGTCTAATTCTCGAGGCGTGGATGACTTATCTGTTCAAATGATAAGATTATGCCTCCCAGCCGTTTCTAGGTCCTTGGTTCAGGTTCCAACTTGCTGCATAGAGACAGGATACTATGGAAAGTGTCACTGGTTAGAAAAATTTAGTGACTTAAGGACCTATCAGGTACCAGTTTTTTCCAAAGTATTAGAGAAAATAATCTATAAACAAATTTTAGAGTTTACTTGTACTAACAATATACTGAGGGGCATTTTGGCTTTTAAAAAGGACGTAGCACTATTTCAAAACTATGTGTTATAGTTGACATAAACTTCAATTTGGATAACAACCTGCCAACAGTTCTTGTCTCTCGTTTTTGGTAAGGCATTCGGTACCATAAGCCATGATCTACTTATAGCTAAGTGTACTTGTCTTGGAATTAATAAAACGGCACTACGGTTTCAAGCATCATATATCCTTAAAGAAGCAGGTGATTCTGGGAACAAGTATTTTGAATTTACGGAATGTTCCTTCAGAGGTATCACAAGGTTCAAACCTAGGACCTCTCTTGATGTTAATATTTATTTACATTTGATTTGGTCGGCAAAATTAAAAACTCGCATCTAACTTGATGATTCCAAATGTCGCTGAGACTGAAATTAATATTGACCTTGAAAGTATTAATAACTATTCTACTATTAATAACATGAGATTCAGTCCTCAAATATCAAATGTACTATTTTGCAAGAAAGGGAAACGAAGACATCTGAAAGCAAGCCTGAACCTGAAAATAAGCAAAAGTTTGGGTCTACTCATAGACGGAGACCTACGTTTCCACACGCAGGTTTGCAGCGTCATCAAAACATGCTATTTTAGGCTGAAACTATTACTTACCAACATACACTAGATTACGTGAATCACTAATTATTTCCAAAATTTTATATGGAATCAAAACAATTTATCCTTGCCTAGTTCAAATGTTCGCCTACGGACTACAAAAAAAAATCAAGATCCTTGCCGCTTCGATCGCGATATGCTACTTCCGTTTCAAGTTTTCTATAATAGTTCTTTCAGACTTGAGAAAGATATCAGTTATACTATTACAACCAAGTAAAATTTTCAGTATTTTCGACTTTAGGAAGTTAGTATTTGCCTATAAATGTGTCAGGAAAATGCTAAATCATCAACATAAAAAAAAAACATTTTTCAGCATCATAATTGAACAGACAATAGTAACTTACTCAAAAATCATTCATTTTATCCATATCAAACAATATATTTTATGAGTAGAAGGATCAGATCCCCTTGACGAAGTACGGGGGTTGTCTCAAAAATAAGGATCCCACGTTTCTTCAGGCACAAGAATTATTTATTTGGAAGAACGAACACTGATCTTTAAGCTATTTTTCTACATAGTTGCCATTTTGTCTAAGCATTTATTTAGACGTGAAATCAAGGTGCTCCTTCAATTTCTGCGTGCAAAAATCAGTGTGTGGCCAATAGCCGCTTCTTGTTGGAATCGGTGGTGGGGGAGGCGACAAACACGACCGCGTTGCCAGATTTCGCCTACAATCACGCGCGATAATGTTGCAGCGTTGGGAACACTATTTCTGAAACAACCCTCGTATACTAGATGGTACTCAATAGTGGAGTGTATCCACTCGAAAAGCGTGGGAATCCGTAACTTTTCGTATTCGCATGCATTTCCTATTCCAAAAAATCTATCATGAGTCATATTGATTCTAGACAATGAGTTATCTACTACAATAATTTGATTAGATATGTGCAAATATAAAAAGTGTGTATAAGATGTACGAATTTTAAAACCAAACCCCAGTTTAAAGTTAACATATCTGAATCTGGTAAGTATGAGATCTCTATTGTTCTAGAAGCTATATAAGATAATGAGCTAAAAACAAGTTTCAGCTGGTTCGAACTTAGTCGTCAAAATAGTAGTGGGAATGTTTAAATTCTTTCCATTTAAAAGCATTACTAATCTAATCATATTAGCAAATTTTCCCTGAAAAATTTTAAGGCCTGGTTTTATTCTTGCAAGTTGTTCAAGGGGCTATTTAAAACATGGACGCATGAATTAGGTACACCAATTATTTATTTGACAACAAAGAATGAGAAAACGTGTTTATTGGGGTTCAATTAAAAGTGTTGACAGGATCGAAAAAACTTTCCATATAAGATTTTCAGGTATTTAAGAGACCACACATAAGAAGATCCGACTAACGGCAAAAATGTTATGGCCAAAAAACGAGGCAAAATGCAGGTTTTTTCACTTGTTGGTAATGCGACGATAATTTCACGCAACTACTTGAAAATCGTCAAATCTGTAGGATTTATACTTCTAAATAACAACAACAAAATTGGATTATATACTAAGTGACATATAAATCCGAACACCCAGTTTAAATGGTTTTATTTTAACACAATTTTGTATAAGTACTTAATGAAGCATAATAAGTAAATGATAAAAATTTCAAAATAATTGCACTGCTTTAAAGCCCTTTGACCTTTAATAATGTGTGGATGCACCCTGATGTGCTACGTATTCTCCAACGCGCCTAGGCATGCTTCTGATCAGGTGGTCAATGTCCTCCTGTGGTATCTCATTCCAGGCAACCATCAACTCCTCTCGAAGTGCTTCTAGAGTCTGAGGAGGACGTTGCAAATTGAGCAATCTCCTACCCATCATATCCCACACGTGCTCAATTGGGGATTAGTCGGGAGATCTTGGAGAACATGGTAACAATGTGACATCGTTATGTTGAAAGAAGTCTATTGTGACTCTTGCAACATGTGGTCGGGCATTACCTTGTTGGAAAGTTGGATCTGCCAGGGTGTCAAGATAGGGTAAAAGATGGGGTTCTAGAACTTCGTGGATATAACGCTGCGCGTTCATGTTACCTCTGATGAAGATTAAAGGTGACCTGGAAGCATAAGCTATAGCACCCCAAACCATAACTCCAACAGTGTGATGAACATGTCTTTCGACAAAAAACTGTGGACTCCTCCTTTCACCACGTCGCCTTCTACCCCTGGCACGACCATCGTGCATGCCTAAACAAAATCGAGACTCGTCACTAAAGACAATACTGTTCCATTCCTGATCCCAACGTGACCGTTGTCTGCACCACTCAAGGCAATTACGTCGGTGTTCTCGAGTTAAAGGGAGGACCCAGTGTGGCCGGTATGAAAACAAGCCAAAACTTCTCATTCGTCGGTAAACACTTCGCATGCCAATAGGTCTTCCGTGTTCTGCAAACCATTCATTTGCAATGGACTTGGTAGTGGAGAAACGGTCCCTTAAGGCCAATAATCTTAGGCGGCGATCTTCACGGTCTGTTGTTCTTCGGCGGCGTCCAGTGCCTCTTGCTCTTTGCGTACGGCCTTCTCGAAGCAATGCCTGACAACACCAAAGCACAGTGTCTACACTTATTTGCACTCTGACTGCTATTGCCCGAAAAGAAAGTCCAGCTTCCCGAAGTCCCACTATACTACCCCTATCAAACTCACTAAGTTGACGAAATCGTACAGGTCTCCGTACTCTAGGCATCGTAACCGATCGTAAAGGATGTCAAGAACCAAAATCCGCCAACGTTGATTCTTTAGTGCGGCTGAAATATTCATTTTTAGAGCGTTAGTGAATTAAAAAAAAGCTGTATAAAAACCGGAATGTCCAACTGATAAGGCTGAACATTTTTTCACTTGTTACTTACAGTAAGATAAATACATTCACCAACTTTTATTAAAATAAAACCATTTAAACTGGGTGTTCTTTTTTGAGAATTTATAATTGTTTATCCTAAAACACGTGAGAAATATACAGAGTTCGTTCAAATAACATTTAATAGCATACACGTGTTGACCTTGAAGATATCAATCTCAAACCATTCCGAAAGCTGAATGTTATTATTATGCTAAGAACAACGGTTACGCTTTTTTCTTCTAGACAAATTCAAACATTTCGTATTTGTCAGTAATTGAACAAATGCGCTACTATATTCGAGAAACATACGTTAACTATACACATTTTAAAGCAAATCGGATGTGTCTATCATCTTTTGTTGCAAATTACTCACAAATACGAAATTTCTTAATTTGTTTAGAAGAAAAAACGTAACCCATTCCTTTTTTGCATAAAAATAACATTTATCTTCCGGAATAGTTTGCGATTCATACCGGCAAGGTATTCTAGTGTATTTTGCTATAAAATGCCCTTTGAACTAACCCTGTATATTGCTCAATAAACTAGTAGTGATGGCCGGAAGACAGGTGTTTTGGGATAATCAATTAGAAATTCTCAAAAACTACTCGACAAATCTACTCCAATTTTGTTGTGGTTACTTAGAAGTACGAATACTAAACGTTTAAAGAATCTCAAATACCTGCAAGAAACCATCGTCGCATTACCAACAAGTGCCAAAACCTGCAGTTTGCCTCGGTTTTTGGCCATAACTTTTTTGCTATCATTCAGATCTATTCACGTGTGGTCTCATTCTGTAGGCCTCATAAATAGTTAAAAATCTGGTACAATAAACACGCATTTTTATTTTTTATTAACGAATAAAAAGTTTTCCCACAAAAATTGGTAAATCCATTCAATGCGTCCATGTTTTGAATACTCATTCTAAAATGACTAGACCAAATATCGTAATCACAACAAGATATTCTGGTTTCGAAAAAAGATTCCACAAAAGACTTATTGCAACTTATCAAAAATGTATATTGCAAACAGTTCTGTTACCTATACATATCGAATAAAAACTTGATTAATATTTCAGAATTGCTTGGAGTATAAAAGACGATGGAGCATCAAGTGAAGTTAGGATATCTAAATATACAATCGCTCAAAAATTTAAATAGTCCCACAATTTTAAAAAAATTAAATCAACTAAAAGGCTTGATCGAAAGAAAACAGCCTGACGTACTGGCAATCACTGAATCGTGGTTGAGAAATGATAGAAAGTATGACGCCTTGGAGATAGATGGATACACACTCTTCAGAGAGGATCGACCGTACGACGAACGTGGTGGAGGAGTACTGCTTTACGTACGTGCGGGACTTGAACCTAATAGAATACAAGTACCGCGGTCGGAGTCTGCTGATCAACTATTCGTTAGTATATGTTTTAATGGTAATACTTATGTAATCGGTGTAGTCTACGATCCTCCTTTAAAAAAAAATTACTCCGTAAACGACAAAAAAAACTTTGTGGATGCTCTAAGGAACTCACTGGTGTTAGCGACGGAAGTATCGAACACTGTCGTATGTGTTGGAGACGTAAATGTAAATTTCTTAGACACAGATAGTTCTCTAACTAGATACTTCAGCGGCATGCTGTCCCGAATTGGGTTTATCCAGATGATAAGAGAACCCACACACTATACTTCTACTGAAACACTTATTGATGTTTTACTGTGTAAAGAGCCAAGGATAGTTACAGAACCGATACTTGAAGAACTTGACGGGTTCTCAAAGCATCGATATATAAGTTGTAACATAGGAGTCACTGTGACTTCGGACGATAACAGCAACAGTACAACCGCGTTGGGTCCCAGTTCGGATGATGACATTATTCAGGATAGTATTAGAAGTGTCAATACAACTGCATTGAGCCTGTCATTGCTGAGGATATAATGAAACTCGCAACGGAGTTACAAGAAAGCCGACGTTTTATTGATGATAAGAATATTTCTTCAACCGATACGTCGGTGGAATGGGATTCCAGAAAAGAACTATCAATTCAAAAATCCCTGTTAGATAAAAAAGCCACGTCCCATTCCGTTTCACCAGATCTTTGATATCACCAGGTACTCAAAAATAGATTATTCCGATCACAGACAATCGATTTGCTTGACAACTATGGCAGTGCATTGCGTGAACTTTAGTACGAGAAAAAAGTACAACATAAGATCTTTTAAATCTTCGGTTTTACTCCTGTACTAATAAAATCAGTGTTATCCTAGTTATAGAATATTTGTGATATATGATATGTGGTTTAGGATTCGGATGTTCCGAATGGTATTTTATCATTACTAGTCATAATATGTATTACTGTTTAAGTGTTATGTATTTTTTTAGTTTTGTTTTGTTACCTATTCATTAAATAATCTTTATTACTTATCATCATATGTTATAATAAATAATGAACGATTCATCTGCGTTTGGATCTCATGAGAGACATTCGAAGAACGTGCGTCTGGTAAATCAGAATCGTGACTCAATAGTATTGTTTAGTAAAGAATTGAGTTGTAGTTTAGTATAACCAGTTAGTGTTTAAATAAATTTCTTCATAAAAAAAATCCGATAAATATTTTGTGCCTAAATTTTTAGGACATATGGTATTAAATTCTCTCGTAGACAGTAATATTTTAGTGGAATGAAAGAAATATTTTGTCGTTGACTGGGATACAGATGCGGATTCAGGACGATTGGCCAGCGTACATTGGGTGTTTGAAATATGATGTTTCAAATTTGAAACTTGTGCGTTTTCAACTAAAGGCGACAAAGTATTTACTAGCAGGTTGTGGAGTAGAGTAAATCGTTAGTTATCGTACACCTGACAGTTATTGGACAATGCTGTTCCAAAACCGAATACTAAGAGTTCTGTATGGCGTATGTTGTTCAGTTCTCGACAGATGGTATCTCTATAGTATATGTTAACAGGTTTTTGAGTTGATAATTTCAGAAATATGTTCTGTCTAACTATTATCTGAGCATTCTATGTAATGAACTATAAATTGAAATCATTTCACTGTAGCCTAATGTTACAAGGATTTTGCCACCCTGTGATGTATCCATTTTCCGACCAATCACAGATGCTTGGCGTCAGTCAGTACGGAATTGGGAAGAAGACCATTCGGGGCAAATAGTAAACAAAGTCGTTTTTGCTGGTATTCTAGAAAATACTGTTAATAACAGCTTCAAAGCAGAAACAGTTGTAAACGGGTTTACAGTCTGCGGTTTGTACCCTTTCAATCCAGATAACGTCGAGTATACAAAATGTCTAAGAGTGGGGACCATCCAGCAACCAAATATTGGTGACCTACGACAAATCCGCAACAATAGTTGGTCCCCAAAAAATCGAAATGTTTCAAAATATTGGAAAAACGGCAGAAAATGAAATTTCCGATGAAAATTTGCGTCAATTATTCAAGACTTGGAGATTCTTCCGAAACGGTGATACAGTACCTACGGATATCACAGAGCCAAAAAATAAAGTTAATATTGTACAAAATATAGGTATAATATCCCCAACACGAAATCCTTCACTTGCTTCAAATTCTAGTGAAACTGAACAAACCGCAACCCTTAGTCAACAGAGTACCAGCAAAGCTACCATCAATTTAATGTGTAAGCAAGGACGGGTAAACGAAACATACAGAAATTCCCTTTTGCTATAACATCTGAGCGATATCAGGAGATGTTCAGGAAAAAAGAAGAATTAAAGAAACAGCAGGAAGAAGAGAAGGAAAATAGAAAAAGGAAGAAGCAGGAAAAGCGAAACGAAAAACAAGGTGAAGGTAATAATTCACAAAGAGCAACACAGTGCTCTGCCTGCCTAAAGGGCATCAGATCTGGTGAACTACAATATGATGACTGTAAACGATACTATCATCAAGACTGTGCTCCACAGAGCCACGAACATAACATATGTTACCTAGCGATGAAGATTGATACATATGTCGTACCTGCTGCGGATTGAGTGATAGTGACGAGGATTGTGAAGGTGATCAGGAAGTCGATGAATTATACGGCCAATATAATCAGGCAAAAAAAGCATTTTACAAATGATTATGATTTTCAGTATAGTATAGTATATAAATATAGTTTTTTGCATATGTTCAAATTTTCCTTGTCAGTGTAAATTCTGCAAAGCTATTTTCAAATATCTTCTAGCAGTCTAGTTAATAAAGCCTCTAACTTCCTGTATATGTAGTTTCCATTGTCTCTTTGCCATAATTGAAAGTTTGGCTCTCATTTAAAGTTGTCTAAACCATAACTGTCCAATAATTGTGTGGTTTACCCTATCCGTGTTTTGAATAATGTGAAGCAGCGTGCATTTACATATTCGTATTCTCAATTTCATCCAGCGTGAAGTTTCTTAAAGACGCTTACTAGTATATTGGAACCTTAGTGCTTGATATGCTACTAAATAATTGTACGGAGTTAAAGGGTAACATACTTTTAGCAGACCCATCTACAGATGATATCAAAGGCGAGAATTTTTATGTATTGGTCAGAGCGTGGTTGTTATGAACTAAAGCGTCAAAAACCTCAATAAATATCGTAAAGGATCTAATACCACCATTAAACCTAATTTGTTTGTCTCCTCTGGGTACCTCAGACCACGGTGTTTTTTCCAAAGCACGCCGACAATGATGTATTGTTGTGCTTTCGAAGAAATCTATGTTCCCTTATTAAACTAAATGAATACTAAATAAAATTTAGAGATTTCTTGAGAAAAACATTCCCAAAGTAAACCACGTACTTTTTTATAGCGGGATCTGCTTTTTCAATAATATCGTTTGAGTGTGTCACAGAACCAGTGACTGAAATCCTACCAAACAGGATATGCTTGGCTATTAACTGTCGCATCTAGTTCTGATATACGAGCCCCTTCCCACTTCAGGTGGCCTCTTCAAGATTTGTACCAAAATATGCCTTTATACACTAAACATGACGAAACTATTTACTTCTAAAACAATTCATTTTCTCAAAAACATTTTAGATACACTCTAGTTGTAAAAAATACATATTTGAAATGACTTAGACCTATAACTAATAGAACATCTAAACAAATAAACAATGTGCGAATAAATGCGCGAAGTTAACAAAGCAACAATTGAAAGATTACCATTGGGTAACATCACCTTTATTTTTTATTACGGCTGAAATTCTTTGGGACATAGTGTTAACAAAGTTTTGGCAAAAATTTGGTGTAAAACAATCCCATATTTCTTGAAGCTTTTGTCTCAGTTCGGTGATTTTACGAGCAGGATGTTATCGTAGAACCTTTTTCATCTCGCGCCACAAAGTTTCAATAGGTGACAGATCTGGACTGCTAGAAACCCATTTCAAAAGTGGTGCATTATTTTCTTCCATGCATTTTATAGCCTTTTTGAGGTATGGTACGCTGCACCATCTTGCTGAAACACAAAATCTTGGCCGGATGTCAAACATTCTTCCATCACTGGTAAAAGCGATTCTTCTAAAATTGCCAAATATTTGTTTGTATCCACATTTCCGTCAATAAAATGAAGTTTTCCTACTCCTTTTGATGACATACTGCCCCAGACCATAATGGATGCTGGAAATTTCACTTTTCTTTTCAGACAGTCAACATGGAATGCTCAATTTTTTTTGCGAATGACTGCGACTGTCACCAAAACAAACTTCGAATCGGGCCTCATCACTCCATTGTATTGCACACCATTGTTGAGGTGTCCACTGTCTATGTTCTTTAGCCCATCTGAGCCGATTTTCCTTTTGCAGTGGAGTTAACACTGGCTTTTCTTTGGCCTATAAACAAGTTGTGCAACTTTAGGGTTTTTACTTCACCTTTTTTTAAAAGAAAACTTACCTTGCAAGTGCTAAATCCCAGTGTGTGGGCCTCTGTATGAGTTGTGGACCTCGAAGTTCTCCTGCCAAAAGCATCACTTCACAGAGCACCTAATTGTAAATAATTGGCACGCCTGTTTTCCACGATTATTCTTCTTAATATTAACTGAACCAGTTACGTTATATCTTCTAACAATATTTCTCACACTGTACCGCGTCTAACAAAGTTACAATTTCTGACTTTGATTTCCCAGAATTATAAAATTTAATTATCAGTAACCGAATTTTCCCACTATTTCTCTTTATATTATCAAAATATTCATTGTTAACATTATAAATCTATAACACCCTGATACATTTTTATTATTTGTGTTTGATAAGAAAAAAACTAAGATTTCAATAGTTGGGCCAACTGAAGTGGGAAGGGGCTCATAATTCATTAAACATTATTTTGATTGCCTATATCTTACAAAGTAGTGTGCCAAGGATGGTACAGATCAACTCGGCTATATTTTATATAATACACTTACACAGTACATATTCTATAAAATACCTACATTTGTGTAGGAAAACGCTGAACGTTGGCAGCCTGTCAGGCGACTTAAGTGCTCAGAATGAACTTAAAAACGAAGTAGCACACGGCCTCCTAATTCCAAATGAAAAAATGTTAAAAAATGATACTTCCAAGTGCCACTTTTATGTTTAAATATGCATCAGTTTCAGCTTATTAACTTGGCCAGGCTCTGAAAAGAAATATCGAGGACACCCTTTCGAAAAGCAGAGATTCAGCAATTGAATGAGTTTATTTCTGTTGGTGAGATTCACAACGAAGATCCTATTTCGATAACTTTGACTAATAAAGAAGAGTTGTTGGAAGTTGTGAAAGAACTAAAAATAAACTCAGCACCTGGATATGACGGTATCACGGTTAAGGATGTAAATAATCTTGGAGAATACATAGTACCTGTTTTAGTACGATTAATCAATCAAACTATACAAAAAGGAATCTTTCCATCAGAATTGAAAATAAGTAAAATAACCCCACTTTTTAAGTCGGGAGATATTAAATGTATGAATAATTACAGGCCTATTTCAGTGGTATGTGTATTCTCTAAGATTATAGAAAAATTAATAAAAAAAAGAATATTATCTTTCATTGTTACTCCAATATATTGATTGATGAATTTCGATATGGTTTTATAACGAACAATAGCACACTTAGTGCGGTTGTTGATTTTGTGGACTACATTTCAATGGCTCTAGATAAACAGCAAATAGTTGTAGCTGTTTTCGTTGACCTAAAAAAAGCTTTTGACGTAGTAAGCGTAGACATTCTTTTGGATAAATTGTTTAAAATGGGATTTAGAGGTGTTTCGTACCGCTTGATTAAGTCTTATTTATATGACAGAAAACAGTACATAAAGCTTGGAGACATTGATAGTGAATGGTTATCTAGCACCTATGGAGTACCACAGGGGTCAGTTCTTGGACCTCTGTTATACAGTCTTTATGTATTGAATCTCAAGTTGGCCAATCTGAGGGGAAGATATTTTACCTTTGCAGATGACACTGTACTGGTATATACTGGATCAGACGAAATTGCTTTAACGACTCTTATTAATGATGACCTGAATAGTTATCTTAATTGGCTGTTTTCGAATAGATTAAAAATTAACATTGAAAAAACAAAATACATTATATTTAAACAAAAAAATAAGATAGTTAGCAATAATCTAAATATTGACATAAATAATATAGCGCTAGAAAAAGTGTCAAGTATTAAATATTTGGGATTACTAATAGATGAAAGTTTAAATTGGTCACTTCACTTAAATGGAATTTGTGATAAAATAGTTTCAATGCTATCTGCCTTATACAGGGTGACTTTGAAGTTGAGTCATTAATTTTCAGATAATGATTGTAGAAGGAAGATAAACCAAAATATGTGTGTAAAAATAAAAAAAAAATAAAAAAAAAATGTTTACCTTGTTTTATAAAGTATCCTCCCGACAAGTATTTCAGTGCGGACCTGTATTTGATCGTGAGGTCTTGGAGCACCGGCATGCCGTCCATATGTGAGGTCTTAAGTCAAATGGTTCACGAACCCGTTGTACTACATTAACAAAGGCACGAGGGGTTGGTTGCACTCGATTGGGAAACCGATCCGCATAAACATGTGCCATTTTTTATTTCATTTGAGCCACGCAACAGACACCACTATCCACTACCGGCTGACACTGACTGTATACAACTGAATGAAATAATTGTAAAAACATCGTTCCAAATTCTTTCGCTTTTTTGTTTCCGATGCGATGAACCGATAAGGCGAATTATATCCGTTGTCGCCAAACACGAGCACATAATATTATTATTGAGACAGGGCGGTACTCAAACTTCCAAAGGGCTATAACTTTGTTACTTCAATTTTACCAGAAAAATGGTAAAGGAAAAGAACATTTCTTTTGATCAGATCTACTCACTGTTAAAATAAATGACTCAACTTCGAAGTCACCCTGTATAAAAGTCGAGATTATTTATCCAACAAAAGCAAATTTCAAATTTATAATGCCATCTTTCGCACATATTTTAGGTACCTCTTGCAAGTATGGGGTATGTGCGGTGAAGTTAATTTTAATAAAGCTCAAGTTTTACAAAATAGAATTCTGAAAATATTGTTTAATTTTGACTGGCTTACACGTTCTAATACACTTTATTCAAATTTAAATTTAAACAAATTAAGAGTGTTATTGGAGGTGGAACAATGTAAACTTGTTTATAAAATTATAAATAGTCTACTAAAAAGTAACATAGATATTAGGTTCTACCATTACGTGCATGATCACCAAACAAGATCACTAAATAATGTTTATCAAATTTCCACAAGAACTAATATAGGTTTAAAAAATCCGATCACAGACGCAATTAAGAAATTTAATAATTTACCTCATTGTATAAAAGATTCAAATAACTATAGAAGTTTTGTTAGAGAATTGAAAGATTTAAAAAATGTTAATGAATTTATTTGTTGAAATTATGAGCAACATTGCGGTGTACCTGTAGTTCATAGATATTGATTATTGTCTTGTTATTCTCGGGGCCAGTGTTTGCAAACACTGATTGGGGAATTATTGTTAAAACTGGTTA